CTCCAGAAATTACACACCCAGTAAGGTTGCCCCAACATCGTCAGCTGTCCCTTCGATTGCCCCAAGTGAGTCCCTAGGCGGGAATGTGACAGCAACAACGACTGCGCAACCAGTGGACACCCTACCCTCGAACTTTCACACGTCCACTACTGCCTACATGATTTTCTACCGTCGTATTGCTGAACAAGATGAGTCCGGTCAAGGTAAGCTGCCGGTACCTTGTTGAGGACTTTTAGTGAATTGGTCTTCCTCTGCCTGTCTCTCGATCCCTTTGTTCTGTCTCCCGTCTACCTCTGCATCTGGTAATGGCCAAGTCAGGACGACTAAAGATTATCGTAGAGACATTCACTGGTCTACTAGAAGCCCGCGTCTACGCATAGTACATACTCTCCGATGATATATTTGTAGTCGGAAAGATTGTGCATAATGGGCCATTGCTGCCAGAGCCCATGTTCGCATGCGTACTGAGTTATGTCTACAGCTGACAGCCCAAAAGACCACAACTTGAGCGCTACAGTTTTTTTACTGAGTAAAATCGGCCTCATTAGTTTTCCTCTCTCACTCTATTTACCAGTAGTAAGTTTGTGTCAAGTCTATTTGCAGCCGTTCGTCGGTTTAAAGCTTGAGCACTTATTATACAAGTGTCTAATCAGTCTCTCTTTTTTGCCAATTCAGGGCCCGTGGACTGTGTTCCTGTTCCTGAACACCTGGAAGCCATCACTAAGTGCAAGACTGCGGCCTACCTAGAGGATCTGGCGACAAAACGTGCTGAACAGGTCAGGAAGTTGCAATTGCTTTTGAGTTTTTTGCCTCATAGATTTTTGTCTACCTATCTATTCATATAAGAAGCCACCCACCTAAACACTAACTTCTCTGTACGCTAGCGTCTGTTTGATTTTAATGGATCTCTGGTGTCACGCTGAGCTTCTGCCAGCGTGAGGTATCTGCCTGCATATAGTGTGTACAATCTTGTTACCAATTAGTTAGCTGATTCCTACAGGCCACTGATGTATAGCAGAGGAAAGACAAACGGAGGACGGTATTTTTATGCCTATCCTCATGACAATTGCGCAGTTCTCACCGTCCTCACTGTAGCGCCTGACAAGGCTGACTGAAGCTGTGGTCTTGAAGGCGGTCAACTGACGTGATAGTTCGTTCCTCGTATAGACCGGGCGGGATACTGCAGTAGCTCCTTAATATGACCTTTATCGTACACTTCGTTTCTGCGAGATTGAGGCCACGCCTAACACGCTCTGGACTGCTACTTTAAGTTCTGTGTGGGACCACGCCAGATCTGCCCTCCACATTTTCTGGCTCGGACACGAAATGGCACATATATATTGGCTGGGTGGATGTGATGTAGTTTGCATAGATTGCCTAGTTTCATCATCATCGTAAATAACAAAATATACTTTGAAG